CGCCGCCTCCCGGGCCTCCCCGGCCTCGCCTGGCCCCTCCGCCTCCTCCGGACGGCTCAGCCTCGCCCCTTCCCTCCCACTGCTCTGGGGGCTGTTCGAAAATTTAAAAAAAAAATTTAAAAAAGAAAGAAAATGCTTTTTTCTTTTTCTTTTTTTTGCAGAGCGGGCGTGTTTAGACTTTCGGGTCTTTTAGCCCCCAGCTCGCACTCACCTGCGGAGCCGCCGGCAGGGCTGGGGGTGGGGGCGCGCGGGGCTGGAGCCGGCGAGCGCGGGTTGAAAGCCAGCCAAGCTCTGCAGCGCCCGACCCGGGCGTGTACGCCGCCGCCAGTCCCCGCAGAGAAATCGTCCTCCTACCCCCGCCTCCATCGCTCTGCGTTTCTCTTCCAATCAGCCGGTCGCTTGGCGGCTCCTCCATTCTCCGGCCAAGCCCGCTGCCTAGAGCGAGCTCCACTCCTCCATCTGCTCGCCCGGCTTCTTGCTCCCCTGCCGGGGCCGGCGAGGCGGCTTGGGGCCGGAGGGGAATTTGCGAGGGAACCTGCCTGCTTCCCGCTCCCATTGCTCCATTCCCGCTGCCTCCTGCTTTTCTCCTGCGTCTTTCCAACTCTCTCCTGTCGCCACTGGTGTGTGTCTGAGTGTGTGCGCGGTTTTTTTTTTTTTTTTTTTTTTTTTTTTTTTTTTTTTTTTTTTTTATTGCTCTTTGCTTTTGCAACCCTGAAGCCAAAGCGGGGAGGGGGGAGCAAAGGGGGATGTTATAAAAAGAAAAAAGCAAGAAAGAAGCTTAGATTTGCAACACATCGGAAAACCGGGGGAGCACCCCGTCTGGTCCGATCTCCATGCCCCGCGAGGGCCTTCCGGGTTTCGGAGCGAGTCCCTCGTTGTTCGCATTGCCCCCCACTTTCACCCGGCTTAGAATCCGAGAAATCCGAGTAGAAAGTTCTCCCCCTGGGTCGTAGTGAGGGGTGTCAGGGTGAGAGTTGGGATTTTTCAAGAAGCAGCAGCCATCCCTCCTACCCCGGCTTCGGTAACTGGGCCAGAGCCGGCGTGGGGATGAAGAGCAAAATCCTGGTGGGTTTGTGCAAAGGAGCTTCTAGGGGGTAGTTGGAGCCGGGAGATCGTGCTTCGCGCATCTCCCCCTCGGTGTCTGCCTCCTGTCCTCTGCCAGCTCCCCCTTTAATTATTATTTCCCCCCTCTCCTTTAATCTAATTTCTTCCAACTCCACCTTTGTTGTTACCGGCGTCACGCCCGGACCAGCCAATCCCTGCTACGCAATCAGCTTGTCAAAAAGGCTCGGCCAGCCCTGAGAAAGCAGGCCTCGGGCTCTGCCCCCCGGCGGCAGCGGGGATCCACGAGGGGAGCCCGGCACCCCGGCCGTGCCGGGGAAGCTGCAGCCCGGCGGCCTTCGGGTGGCGGTCCGCAGTTCACCATCCTGCCGGCGGGGGAAGGAAAGTCCGGGGCGGGAGCCACTCTCTAGCCTCCCAGGGCCTTCGGCGGTGGCTTGTCTCTTTGCCTTCCCTTCTCAGAGAAAAGGTTATCAGGACAGGATGCAGGGAACCAGAAGACAGTGAGAAGGACGTCTACTTCCAACAGGCCAGCCCACAGTTTGGGCCATCTCTCACGGGACAGCGCCACTGCTCCTGGCACTGCTGCTGCCTACGTCTCAGCCAGGCGGGTCACACAGCCCCCTTTGGACTGTCCCCTGGCACACTGCCTTCTCCATCCCCACACTGTCTGGCTACTGCTGTAATTCCTCTTGTCTCTTGGGAGACATGAGATTCCTTTCCCAGGACTTCCACATCTCACTTCTGCCACGTTGCACAAACGATGGGAAACACTGTCAAGATCTGGTGTGTCCGGGTTTTTTAGAGGGCATGGCATATAAGAGAAGCGGATTAACCGTGATACTAAATGAAGTTTAATTCTTAAGACCCTTTCCTTTCAGGGCCTGTTTAAGGCCTGTACTTGATTTTGTACTTATTTACTTATTTTTTGTTTTGTTTTGTTGGAATCCTCTTCCCCCAATTGTACATCTCCACAAACTCAGACCTGCCCTTGGAGTATACATAGGGCATTTTGTGAAAATCAAGCCATCACACGCTGCACTGAAAGCAGGGTGTGGAATTAACTTTATTTTTTTGACTAGAAAAGAGCAAAGGGTTTTAGAATCAAAAGTCCCAGCTTCCCAACTTCCCCACATTTTTTTCCAGATCTGGAGGTGAAACCAGGGCCAGCCTCCCCACATTCCTAATAGTATGTGAGTTTGGTCAAGTTCTAACCTCACCTTATTTGATCCCATTCCTGTATCTGTGTAATTAGAATAACAATCAT